AAGGCTCAAGATAGGAGCTGAGATAGAGAATGGTTGGACGAGCACAACTGTATGAAAGATATAATGAGAAAAGATTAGAAGATACGGCTGCATGGCATAAGCAGCATACCGGAATGAAAACCGGATGATAAGATCAACGGTACCATATCAAGAACGCAGCCATTGCAACCCCTTCCACGTTTGGTACGTATATACATAGGTACATAGGTGATCCCGTGTTCCGGAAGTGAGCCCGGTGCCTTATCACGCCTATTGAGGCGACCCTGCCCCTGAACTGGCAACTATCGGCTCATGGGGTAGGCCTCCTACCCAAATCACTACGTATATTTCTCATTCGTTCCCATAAGATTTATCGTGACCACCTCCTTTAGACCCTTCTGTCGTCGATGGAGAGAGCTTACCAGAGAAAATGGCATAGCATCGAAAATACCTCTTACGGAAGCTCCATGAAAAGTGAACGATCTAGAGACACCGCATTTTAGAGAGGCAAGCCCTCTGCTAAAGTAATACTCTCTACAGTTTAAAGGCTCTGAGTGGCTATGGCCAAACTGCGCCCATTCGATCGTTTATCGTCACCGATTACAAAGATTTTTTCAGTATTCTTCTCCAAATCCAGGCAAAAGGTGATCAGATCGTAAGGGAGCAAAGGTAAGATGAGCATGGCTGCTTTGTCGCACTGCAAACAATTTGTGAAAGGGAGCAAAGCAGGAGAACCAACTAGGTTAGCATGCGAAACAGATGAGAAGGCTTTCGCTGTCTTGTGGAATTCCTCCAACAAAAACTCACCGGTGTGTCAATGTCCAATTCTTGTTTATCATACACGCCATCGACGATGATTTGTCGATCGACAGCTTCACCAAGCATTTCAGCTAACTAAACACGATTAATTCCAATCAACTGATTAAGCGCATCCATTCTACCACCAACCACTCTCCAAGACTATTCTCGTGATAGCAGTTGTGCTTCCACCTTTCTGCCTGACTAAACTTCCACTTCATACTGAGCAGGTACAACTACTGTAAGAAGAACTCACTGAATCAATAGGAAAACGTCAAGCGAGGAGGCACTGGCGCAAAGCGAATACAAGGGACGCGCCCGCGGGGCGGATCAATTTTGGCGCCGTCTGTGCGTGCTGGCGTCGCTGCTGCGACACTCGCAGCAATTCGATCGATGGTTTGCTCGGCGCTGGGCGAATTGCCGGAGCTGTCATTTTATTCGAACGCCTTCATCATCTGCTAATTTGCTCAGTTATTGATTTTCAGTACTGGGAATATCTTTATTCACCCTTTAGATTTCGATATGCATGGTCTACAACTTGTTTTCAGAAATGACTGCATGCCTTCCGCCAAATTTGTTGGCATTGTTCGAAGCAAGGCCACCAATTCCATATCTCCCGCCTCCGACTGATCTTCTTATAGAAAAGAAGGAGAAGGGAAAGGTCGTTGAAATAACAGGAATCGCCGAATACGTCAGTCTTTTTGAGGTAAGTGATGAGGGTATTACATTTTCATTTTTTATAAAGCGCCGTTATAATAAAGAGTTGCGGTACTTCCGTCACTCTTGGAGATTTGCAGTTTGCTATGGCGCTGTAGATGTTGGTGCTCTTCTTGTTTGAACGCGCTTACACCACGACATGGCACTATAAACGATTTTAGAAGATGCTGTCACAGGATACAGGGGTATCAGTACACTACATTGAAGCTCAAAAAAGGGCAGGAACTTTGTTTAAAATAAAAACAGCTCACATGCTCTCCTCTCCCATCCATCTAAAGCTGAGTCCCGGTTTCACCAAAAAGGAGATGTTTTACGCAGTTTCAAATGCATTGCCGCCACAATGCCTCCGTACTTTGCGATACGCGCCCGTTTAGAATCAATAGCACACATTCAGTGAGCTGGGAGGACGAAGACTTCGAGGGGATGGATCCCGGGGTGTTCCTTCTGGTTCCTCTTCTTATTCAAAATTTTAATCTTTCACTCCTAACCTTTGATTTCGATCGGAAACAACACGCAAGGTATAACATCATTTTTCTTTAGATATTTATTATCGACGCTAATTATTGATATTATAGTATTATTTGTACATCAGGTCATGATGGTATAATGACGGTAGATCATGACTGAATACGTTTAGAATATTAATTGGATCCTTTTTTGTGCGTGCACATGCATTCCTTCCCCAGATGTCATTCCTATAGCGAGGTCTGAGGTGTTCTACTAGTTGACTTACATTGTGTTAAAATGACTATCAACGATTCGATGTGATCGCATTTATTAACATTGCACAGTCGCGCTAATCTGAATTTAGCACGAATGAGTCGTCTAAGATCACGAAGACGAATTTGCTGGTCATTTGTGCGTCATGGACCTTTTCGATTGTACTTTGCGGGCATAATTGTCATCCTCTCAGTCCCTCCATTGTACAAAACACTTGTTGTTCAGTATGTCGCTACATATGCCGATCAGTCTATTCGTCAACTAAATGAAGTTATAAGGCAACAAGAGAAACGAGCTAACCTCTAAGCAAAATGAAGAGACCGCTGGTCTCGCGGTTCGATTTTTCGGCCACTCTAAATTGTGTTGTCGTTGTAACAAAGGCACGGTTCAAGTCGTAAGATCCAATCTTGACTTGATGTCATGGCTGCTATTGACTTTATTAAATAAGCGACGTACAAGACACCCTTTTCCTGTACACTCACTCCATTCACGAGGCGTTGATTTCACAACTTTAAGCGAGCACGGTAGAAGTTGTAAATTATAAGCAGAGAGGGGCGATCTCGGTGGAAACAAAACTGATCAATTACAAGGACAAGATCATGCAGTCAATGCTGTAATTTGCAGTGGTGAAGGGTTTTCAGCGTTATATTCCAATATATCGACGAAAACAAAAGACATTTCTCAACATGCTCGACTGAGACACTGCATATCGTTCTAGAAACGTCAAGAAGTGTAGAACTGCGTTGAAGTCGCCTCACTTTTTCTGACTGCGCTTAGCTGATCACGAATAGAAGTGTATTTATTTGATATGTTTGCAGGACCCGAAAGATACTCCTCCCAAGCCTATCATTGAGACGAAAGCAGAGAAAAAAGAAAGACGTAGGCGAGAGAAGGAAGAGCTTCTGGCTTACAAGGTGCTGATTAAATTTCCACTTTTGTTCGTTTTTCTCCACAGCTTCTCTGTCAACTACTTTGCATCTTTCATGTGATTCATGGCATGTGTTTCTTTTTTTTAAGTCGGTGTTTGTAGGTGGAGCAAGGTATAGCTCAATGGAATCCGGCCGACAATCCCAATGCTACCGAGGACCCATACAAGACTCTCTTCGTAGCTAGAATAGTTGGTTTCGGAGTCGTCCTTATTCAGCTTCTTCCTTCTTATATGATTTGTAGTTAGATCTAATTTAATCATGTTCAGAACTATGAAACCTCGGAAAATAAGTTGAAACGTGAATTCGAAACCTACGGGAAAATAAAGAAGGTTGGCTGAGTTCTTTTAGATTTCCGAACGTTCTCTGACTTCTATTCCTTTATGAAGGAGTGCTTATCCGAGCAAACGGAATGTTTTTTTTTAGTTGGCAATGATCCACGATTTGAATGGAAAGCCGCGTGGTTATGCTTTCATCGAGTATAGCGATAAAGCGGAAATGTCTAGTTAGTTTTCGTTTTTTTTTGTGGCCGGGTCTTACATGATATATGTGCACTTCTTAAAGACTCTCAAAGTGCATCATTGGAAACGAAGGCGGGTTTCGCTCACGCACAGATCATGCATTCAGAGGGAATAGTAGTACGAAATAGTATAAGGGAGGAGAAATAGGATTTAAGGGACAAAGTTTGCAACCTTTGTTTTAGAAGTCTGCTGTGCATACGACGCTCGCCTTCGTGTCTGGTTTTCACTCATTCATTATTGACCTTTAGTTATATGATGGGTGGGGGGCTCCTGCGCTGTTTTAGGAGGCCTAGGTAACGTTGCGCGAGACGAGTCGTAGAAGACAGTTTAGTTATTTTTCATGGTCATTTTACGGAAAATAATTGCTGTTTTCTTACAGCACCTCGCCAGATGTTCATATTCTACTTTTGCGCTGGTTACTGGTTGAATGAATAGGTTTGTTTGAGACGAAGTTCATTTGGACGTAATACTTGGGTAATTTTTGTCAATGACGCACAGAATAGCAACACTTCTGAGGGTATAGATCTTGCTGCATTCTGTATTTTGTCGTCACTACCTCTAGGGAAAGAAAACTCAAACTGTTAGTTTCATTTGAACTTCGTCATTGAACACCGGGCGATGATGTGGATTCCTGGTAAACCTTTCGATTCATTGTATAGTTTATCTGGACTGGAAACACCCAAAAACGGGTTCACGACTTTCCATGCGGTCGTGAAATATTTGCGTGTAGGTAACTTTTCGAATTTTTGTCGTATTCGGGTAAGCACACGGGTAAGTTTTATCTCGCTGTGCGGTACCTCGATGGCAGTGAATACTGAGCGCGCAATGTAAGTTTAGTCGGATCGTAAGTTTGCTGCGTAAGTTATTTTCTAAATAGTACATGCTGCTGATATCGTATACCATCTTCCCCGCGGGTAATCCACGACTATATAACCAGGTAATGCTATAATGAATCACCGTTGCCAACAGATTCGTTATTTTCCAGACGCCTACAAACGTGCTGATGGAACAAAAGTTGACGGACGCAGACTAATTGTTGACTACGAACGAGGTCGTACCCAGAAATCATGGCTGCCAAGAAGACTTGGTATGGTTTCATTTCAATGTCTTACTGCTCAATCTGCAGCAAATTCCAATTTTTGGGAATACCTCTCGTATATGTGGCAAAAAATTGCGCTTTTTCTCGCGACGCGTGCAAGTGCTAGTTCCTTATCGCACTTCGCCTTTCCTTGGATAAATTGCAATTTTCAGGTGGCGGTAAGGGAGATACTCGAAGAGCGCGTGAATCCCGCGCAGCAATTGAAGAACGAGAAGCAGCCGGCTTACCTCCTGTAGACGGTGTTCGTGACCGTGACCGGGATAGAGGTGATTCGCCTCGTGGCCCACCAAAGGACAGCTATCGTGACCACGACAGGAATGGTTCCTCCAGACATCGCAGTCGCTCCCGCGATCGTGGATATGGAAGCCGTGGAAGCGATCGCGGACATGATCGCGATCGCTTTCGGGATCGTGGAAGGTAAATTCAATGAAGCGTTCCATACATCTATACTATGCTGACGTGTAAATTGCAGCAGAGACAATGGATATGGACGCGATGATCGCCGAAGCGGTGGATTCCGAGGACCTCCTCCTTCGTATGGAGGTGGACGCGACAGAAGATAATAAGCTTATTACTTTACCATTACAATGTTTTTTTTACACTCTCGGGTGTTGTTTAGAAAAAAAAACGCAGACATTTTGTGGCAATTGCTAGATCTTGTGATCGCCGCTGCATTCTGCGATTGTTTATTTCTTTATATTTTACTGGCGTTGTTTGTCGGTTTTGAATTTTCCATGTGGTTACGTGTTTGTCTTTTCTTGTTAGCAATCCTCTCACTACGTAGGTAAATAAACGCTTCCCTTACAGTTTGTTGTCATGGTGTATTCATTGCTTTGCCTTTCAATCACTGTTGGTGTTGGCAATTTTATAAATGTGTCATTGACATTGTGGGACTGCGATGATTATCAGTGTTCTTGCAATGAATATTTCAATAGTGAAGGTATTTAACCAAGGGGTATGTAGGTAGATTACCACAATTATATATCAAACAACTTCTGAAGAACGTTTAACGGTTGTGGGACCGTGTGTGGAGCAGTCCATATCACATAAAAATAGTTTGGAATCTGCAGTTATCACTTGCAGTTCTCATATGTGCAACTGCGCCTTTGTCCTGGTCACCAATTCGTTCACCTTGACCAATTCTGGAATCCTCAAATTATGACGTAGATCGTGCATTATCGAGATAAGAATGATTTGAATAACTTGCGTCAGGAAGTGGGATGCGATGAGTTAGGGTGTATATCAGTTCTTCTCCACAGTTCACGTCACTCAGAATTAGGACAGCTTTTATTTCCTTGTATCAAGCCTAAGCCTAAGCCTAAACCTAACCCTAGACTTAAGCATAAGCCAATGTGTAATGATAAGCCTAGGCATAAGCCCAACTTCAGGCTTCAATCAGCGCGCCCTGAACTGGTGACCTAAAAGGAGACCTGAGGTGAATGTCTTTCGATGAGTTGTCGAGGTGGTTTTGCAAGGACGCCTCGAAAAAAATTCACAAGTTCGGGTACAAGTTGTGAGTTCACGAAAACATGTACGTTAACCATGCAGCACTGATGTTGAGGGCGCAAAAAGCGAAGTGTTGGGCTATTCGCAGCCAAATCAAAGATAACCGATTTACACATTGGAGTCCTTACGTAAACCGTACTAGTTGTTATATCACACAGCGCAATGTCAGCCATGCGCACTCCACAATTTGTAGACTAATTTTTCCTTTCTAAAACCATATCTGCTCTTAAAACAATCATGGACGGTGCATTTTGCTCTCATTCTAACATACATTTCATTTTGTTTCGTGCTCATGTGTCATTGGCCGATGTCAGACTTTGCGATTGGAGCGATTTTGCACCAATTGCAGGAGCGACGGATCGCTCAAGCGATGCGAGCGACGGGAGATTTACCCGAGCGGCGCCGTGTGTATCGGTGGTCGGCGGTGTAAATCTCCCGTCGCTCGCATCGCTCAAGCGATCCGTCGCTCCTGCAATTGGTGCAAAATCGCTCCAATCGCAAAGTCTGACATCGGCCATTAATGCAAACTTGACACGCTGTCATGACATCAGAAAAGTAACGTCATGAGAAGCATACTTTTTATCAATTCTTTCGAGGTTTGCTGTGTGCTACCGCCACTTTGCAATTTACTCTTTCGTTTAGTCTCCGTCTAAGGGCACGTGCGAAACGGAGACTAAACTACTCTTTGATCCCACCCCTAAATAAAATTTTGGCAAAAGTACATAAACAATATTGAGATCCAAAAACAACTTTTGGTTTTACAAACTGAATGACTCAATTATACACAAAATCAATAATTTTATTGCAAAATCAGTAGTTCACTTTTCTGCGGTTTCGAAAAAATCGTATCATTTGCTTCCGGATGCTATTGCTTATCATGTCACATCTGTGTTGTTACGTCTGCCTTCATGATCAGGGTTACCGTTCGTTTGGGTTTCCTAGCCAGGCAGTCGTTTTTGTGATTATAGGAATGGGTCGTATTTTCCAATTTTGAAAGATCTCGAACAGTTTCTCTTTCACTGTTACATCTAGCGTACTTTTACAATTTTGCGTTTCGGAGTGAGCCGTGCAATCCCATCGTTGGGGAGGGGGCATGTTGGGGAACCCCTCCAAAATGGGATCACCCAATTTTGATGTTTCTCCAACATTGAATTGAATCTGTTCACAACTCGTAAAATCGATGCGCAAAATCTATCCAACTTGGTGTTGTCAAGTGGTTAAGTTCTAGATTAGTGGATTATGGTTTTCAATTCCTAATCAGATTAGAGAGCGAAACATAAGACGGCTAGCTCAGCTTCACTGATGGTGAGATCGTGTAATTTGCATTCTTTTTCAGGCGGCCATGGCGTCGTCTATGGGGAAACTGGGGAGAGCAGCCTCTCGTCTATTGGCGGCTACTAGCGCCCCGATTATACCGCAAAACAGGAGTATGGTTCACAAGAGCGTTTTGAAGTACGTGTTTTTTTGAATTTTCTAAGGTTCTCACCAAGGCGAGCGAGTGTTTTGGCGAGATCATAAATTGTTAAATGCAACCGTCAGTCCTGGTGAACTGGCACATTAACTTACTTCGGTTTTCCTGAAACGTACTGTGCTGATTATTCTTGCAATTTTTTACATGATATTTCCAGACTTCCTCCTGATTATCCAGATCCATGGCCATATAAAGAGAAGGGATTTCACAGCATTGACATGATTAAAGATCGAACCAAACCCCACTTCCATCAAAATTCGAAACTTATTGTGGTCGAAGGAAACATTGGCGCCGGAAAGGTACATAATCAAATTGGTTTGACGTTATGCTGAAAACATTCTTCTGAACTGGCCAATCTATCAAAACCTTATGAATAGGCAAGTATGTGTACGCCTTCTCATGCTGGTTTGTAAGAAATTGCCTTTGCGCTGAAATTATATATTTCCTGACATTTCTTGGGAACTTCGAATCGTTAGGCTGATGTCAGAGTCCGCGATCCTTTGCGCGATTTTCGCGATTTGCGCGATTTTCGCGATTTTCGCGATTTTCGCGATTTTCGCGATTTTCGCGATTTGCGCGATTTGCGCGACGGGTCACGGAAATCACAAGTGCCCCATCAATACTGCAAGGTGTTCTCCAATCCCGCCGTCACTTCTGCTTGATGGTTATGGTTTAATGGAGACTGCTCATGATTCCACTTGTTTCATATCCAGTGTTTCAATTGTTCAAATGGGGCACTTGCAATTTTTGTGATTGGTTTGGTTTGATTCCTGAAAAAAATAGGAACGATTCAAGAGCATTTCAATGAACTAATAGACATTGAACATGAAACAAGTAGAACCACAAACATTCGTCTTCCAATCTTTACTGCCAAGCAGAATTCGCAGCAGGATTAAACAACACCTCGCAGTATTCATCGGGCACTTCCAACTCCTGTGATCCATCGCAGGTTTCGCGAAAATCGCGAAAATCGCGATGAGCGGATCGCGGACTCTGACACCAGCCTTACGATACCACAATGTATGACCCACATCAGGGTCTTGAGCTGTGCCGATTTTCTTCGTTTTCTTGGGACTGAATTGCTCTCAGCTTTTGTTTTTTCAATTGCTTTTTTAACGTGGACCAGCTGCAGGCTGCAATATCTGAAATCATGGGCCTAGTAAAGCAAAATTTTTGCAGCGAGAATTTTTTTCCCAGCAAAACCAATGGGGCGTAAAACGTTGCAACCATTAATGTTGGGACCGCGCGTTGCGACGCGAGAATTTATCGGGAAGCGAATACGTTGACACACACGTTCGGTCCAATGTCTGAATGCTATCTTACGTGTCTTGGGCTCTACCTTGCGTAAAAGCGTAGGGTGCAATAAGCTCGGCAGTAGCAAGCAATACCTGCGACTAGTGGAGCATAAGGTCTGGAGCAATTCATTAGAATATGCCGAAATTTCGAAGCACGAGTCTACCAACTTCCCACGTGGAACCGACGTGATGGATAGTAGCAACGGAAAAACTATTGAGTGAGCTTGAATACTGAGGACAACATCGGTGCTAGCATCTGGTGACTTGACTCAAAATAGATAGCTAATCTTAATTCGCATCATAAGTCTGCTGAAAGGTTGCAAAAGTTGTTGTACTCTCGATTTATAAAGTAATGCGATTGTTTGGCGCTGAAATGAGTTACTTCCATTGATGTAATAATGTTCAATTCGATAGAGTAAATTGTCCGCTGAACTTGCTGACCATCTTGGACTGTACTACATGCCTGAGTTCAAAATGGAAGATGTCCTCATTGATCGCTATGGAAACGACTTGAGAAACTTCTATCACCTGGTACAACCGTTTCTGTAGCACCTTTTCGTAGAAACTTGCTTCACACTGATTCTTAATTTCAGTTTCCTGAGAGTTTTCGGATGCCTGACATGGACATGTTTTATAAAAACCCTATGAGCGATATGACAGCCAAAATGCAACAACGCATATTCGAATGTCGTTTCGATCAGTACTTAAACGCAGTGGCTCACATTCTTAATACAGGTATGGCTTCTTCACTATTGAATACTTTTAATTCTGTTGTGAGGATACGTCTTTTGTTGGGTATTTGTTCGTTTAGAATTATGTTCATACAGTACAGGAACGAGTAGAAAACGCAGTCAGCGGCCATCGAAACTGGAGCGTGCCGCGCTGACAGTATCTGCTCACCCCTGGGCTCTCTCGAGAAGCGAGACAGTGTAAACTCGAACATTCCAGCTTTTCACGCATGTCAAGTGACTGCCCCCACCCCCACCCCCCTAGACTGCCTACACTCCCCCTGGCCCACGGATTTCCGAACATGCCAGGCGAGCAGACTGCCGCGCCGCCGCGTGCCCCCCCCCCCAACTTAGCATAGGTATGCACCGAAATTGAATAAGCGGTTTTTTATGATGCTTAACCTGCCATAGGAAGTTTGCCTCCCTAATATGAGCTTGACTAAGGAACAGGCATGTCAGGTTCGCGAAGTGGCCGATATATAATAATGAGGTGTTGTACCCCTAGCACTGTCGTCTCTAGAGCGCTAATTTCAAATCTGCCTTCCAAATCTGCTAAACGGCTCTCAGAGCGGAGGTATGAAGCGTAATAGTTCAGTGGTGATAGTCCGGGGTGGCAGGTAAAAGCTCGTAGGATCGGTTCCTCTGCAAGTTTCTTGCTTTGCTTTTGTTTCCACCACGGCAACACTTCTAGAACTGTTCAACTCCCTAGCTTCCCGAATTTCTTGGGGCTTGGTTCCCTAAACTTTTTTTTTGCAAGTCACTGTAATTGACATCATCGTTGTTTCCAAGCAGTGCCATAAAAACTCATATATTTCCGAGCGCAGTCTTCGTCTTCAAAAACAACTTTCTTATGTTTGTTCTGTTTTTACTAGTAGGACGGACTCTGTACTTTCGCCTCCGTGGAGTGTTCAGTTCACACGGAGGGAAGCCGCATGTTAATGTAAAAGCTTTATGGCGTACAATTTCAATTAGTTGGTCCTCCGTGAACAAATATGCCCAAGCACGAAATCCTTCACATGGCCCATGCCTGTCCCCCAGAATATGCACGTCCCAGTCAGCAGTGGGGCGTTGGTTCCAGAAGTGATGTGCAGGGTGGGACGGGAACATATTTGGTGGGGGTCAGAAAGTGATAACGACTGATAAGAGCGCTAGAACGCAAATTTCACGAAATTCATAGCGCGCGTCCCAGCAGCAGTGGGCGTTGGTTCCAAGAAGTGATGTACAGGGTGGGACGGGAACATATTTGGTGGGGGTCAGAAAGTGATAACGACTGATAAGAGCTGATAAGAGGCGCTAGAATGCAAGTGTCACGAAATTCATAGCGCGTGTCCCAGCAGCATTAAGGCGCTGTACCTGGGAAAGGGTGTGGATGGTGGGACGGGAGCATGTTTGTGGAGGGCGGGTGGCGGAGAGTGGTACTGATAAGGGGTGATGTGGATGAGCAGCTTGAGGACGGGGGAGTCACTAAAGTTGTTATCCAGATGCGCGATGAGAGCATTCCGTTTCAGTCGCCAGTATCGGAATTTTTCGACCGCTAACCTGTTCCAATCATCATAAGATGGTCGGTGTTCATGAAAGCATGATATGCTGTTTCGTGTTTCTATTGCAATATCATCACTACCAGAACCTAATTCAACCGCTAAACCTTCCCGGCATCCGAACCATGGTAGTTGTTTTCGCTAATGGCTGACAGTAAGCAGTACAAGTAGTTGTGTTAGTAATCCAAAGCTTATTCAGCCGCTAGAAAATATCAGTTTCCGAAAATGATGGATGTCATGGGTATTGACGAGCTACGAGAAATGGCTGCTTTATCACCAGCGCTATAGAAACCTTTCACATCAGTCAAAAACAACGGAAGCAATTGCCTGCTGTTTAATACAAGAGCTCGGCTGTGCTCATTTCCACTAAAGCCTACTTTGATATGCGCGCGGTAGCGAGCGGAGCCAAACTGGTTAGACATAAAATACTAAACGACTACGACGTTGATGAAAAAAAATCTACTTACAAATGAAAATCTTTTGAAGCACATTTTAATGACTAGTACTACTACGCATTTTCTAAGTACTCATATCGAAGAGTGTAGTCGTCGAGAGTAACAACGAACACACCATACAGGCTAACAAACAATACTCCATACTTTGAGCGACCGCATCACAACCATGGTCCCCCGTCGGTGCGTAGGACCCTGGTTCTACTGTACTCGGGCACTATTCATAGCTCGCAATTTGAGCGATTCGCTGATCTCTCTACTCGGTAATTTGGCGATTACTCCGGAAGAAATGCATGAGTGTCTTTAGAAGGAGGGTCAGTGCACCTCATCAGCGAGCGCTCATAGAGCTGGATCAGTTCAGCAGATGTGCAGCTATTCCGTTCGGCGAAATCGCCGAGTCGTCTGATCGCCAAATTTCCAGATCGATACTCAACACATTCTTTCAGCGAAATTGCTGAATCACCCAAATCGTTAGTTGTAAAAGCTACCTAGGGCATTTTAACACCTTGTAACGTCTGCTATTCGACGGTTTATACAAACTTAGGGAAGTCTCATTTCTTTGGATGAAATCACGCTGGAATCCTTTTCTCTCGGATACTGTAGAATCTGCCCTTGAGTTCTCAATTACATGTTTAGTGGCATATCGTTCCTATGGGAATCCTTCTAAAGTTTCTCCCTAATGGACCCTTCCAGATAAAGGCAAGGCAAAAGTCGTGCTGGTTGAAAGGCGAACACGAGTTGGATGTGTCGTCGGTGGAAGGGCATCAACGTTGCTGGAAGGCGTTCCGAGGGCCGCCCCTTGGCGTCTTCTACGATGCTCTTCATCCGGTGACGAGTCTTAGGCCGATGCCATAGTTTGCGAATCGCTGATCCGAGCGTTGCGCCAGCGAATCGAACGTTGCACCAGCGAATCGAACTTTGCACCAGCGAGTCGAACTATGTACCAGCGACTCAATAGTGGCGGGACCCACGTGACAGTGGACCCTTTTTGAAAGTGGCGGGACTTGACAGTGGACACTGTTTGAAAGTGGCGGGCTTCCTTTGAACGTTGGGTCCCGCCACTATTGAGTCGCTGGTACATAGTTCGACTCGATTCGCTGGTGCAAAGTTTGATTCGCTGATGCAAATTCGCTAGCGAATCACTCGATTCGCAAACTATGACGTCAGCCTTACTCGGTTCCGCCTCTCAATCAGCGCAACTGCTTTTAACCCATAACGGACGGCGACTTTTTGCGTGAGCGGACCTGTGTGCCGGCCGGCTTTTTTACCGCCTCTCGCGCGTGCGCCACATGGTGGCGCACGCCGGCACCCAGGGTAGGTTTTATGCAAGCTTGTGCTAATGGCGCTGGAAACCATGTTTTTGTGCCCGAACTTCATAACCTAAAGGGAATTCGAGCTGTTGGCATCCATGTAGCCCTCCATTCTGATACTTCACTTCAGTGAGAGCAGGTTTAGTGAACAAAAAAGCTACTCCAGATTTATCTCCGGACACCACGAATCCAGCAACTTTCAGGTAGGGAAGCGACAACTGTAGGGAGGTTGTGGATGGGGAACCATTACCAAGCCTATTAGCATACGGAGGAAGTTGGATATGCGAGTTTGTGGTATGACAGCACGCTATTTCACCGAGAGAGCTCAGATGAGAGCAGAAGCAACGCAGCGAAAACTGAATCGCATCACTTCGAGAAAACTCTGCGCAAGAAAGTTCATGCACATATTTCCTTATTCTTACTTATTTACGAGTTCTCTGTGTTTTGCGCTTCCGGGTGTTCTTACGGGTATCCCTACATCGGGTTGCGTGCAATTCCTAGTCGTACTTTCAGGTATCTCTTTTTCTTTGATTTCCTCTGTTTCTTTTTCTATCGTCGCATTTAGCCATGGTTTCTAGGATGCAGGTTTTTAATCTCTAGCTGTTTTGGAAATACTATTGTTACTGTTGAAGTGTAGTGAATAATAGGGAGAAATTGTACATGAAGATGGTTTTATTGGGAACGTTGTAGATTTGCAAACAATGAAGCTATTCCGGTCCTGGAAACATATATTATTCTACTAGGTTGTAAGTATACAATGGTATATTTGTATTACTTGAAGTGCTGCAAAAATGAAAAAAATTTCATTCTGAAGGTCGTGCGCCACCATGTGGCGCACGCCGGCCGTTA